CATTTTAATACGGCACCAGCAAGTCCTCCCTCCCAAGTGTTCGTATGTTTAAGCTTCTTTTAATATAAACTAAACTCCTGTATCGTAAGAATGTGGTCGCATTGTTAGTGTTAATGCTTGAACAGGTAGTGCAGGTAAACAATGATTTATACCTGATACTGATTTGGATGATAACTTGCCAGGGAAGAGAAAAAAGGAAATAACACAATGACTCTATGTCCCTTTGGCTTTACTCTGCACTTTTCTGTCTCTCTGTTGTGGAAAAAGATGGCAGCGTTTCCACAGTCAGTGTGGCTCAATATAACTCTCAATCATGCTTTAAAACCAGACTTTATCTTTACACATATTCTTAAAAATGACATTGTTCATTCGACTTAAAGGTCCAGTGTGTAACAATGAGTAGGATCTGTTGGCAGAAATATAATATAATATTCAAAGGTATATGTTATGTTAACTAGTGTGTAATCACCTGAATATAAGAATCATTGTGTGTTTGTTACCTCAGAATGCTTCCTTCACACTTTCTTTAAAAGCTGTAACACGTTTAGATTTCAGATCCTGCTGCTCTGTTTTGGCCAACAATACAGTATTTGACTCACCAGACAAGAAAGAACAACCTAGATAAAACTTCATATGTGGCATAGACGTGTCCACAGATTGCGTTACATCCCTCTGTTGTCATATTGACCAACCTTGCAGTATCAAATTAGATACTAATATTTTCGTCTGTTTCCAGGGAAGGTTTTGGCGAGTGTACTTCCACTCTGACGCAGAGGAGTTGCTTGTACTGTTTTCTTTTGCTGACTCTCAACAGTTCACTGAAGCAGTATCTTGCTCAGTAGTTTTTAACAATGATATAACAAGTTGTATTCTTTCACTTTCCTCATCTGGATCTGTTTGGTCCCACACATTAAATGTTCGGCTTTAAGTAGCAATTTAACCAGTTCTGACTGTAATATAATACAGTCCTATTGTGGTCCAGTGTATTTGATGTTTCCTGATTTTCTTTGGCGTTCAGGACTGGAGTTACATCTCTGCTTAAATGAGGTGACACATATGAATGGAACAGATAAACAGAGAAGACAATTTTGTCTGACTATCAGAGGGGTTTAATGGGGGATGGGATGACACGCGAAAGGGTGGGGAATCATAGAAAATCAATAGTGCACAGAGCAGGCTGAGGGAGCCTGGCACTATAACCTCATTTGTGTTTATGAGGAGGAGAGACAGAATAACAAAAGCTGAGGGAGAGAAGAAATAGACTGAAGGTTAGAGAGCGGCAGCATGAGCGAGTGAACGCACAGGCCAGATCGGACAGAGGCAGGGGCTTATAAGAAGAAAAGGCAGTGTGTGAGAGAGAGAGGGAGAGACAGAATAACAATAACACAGCCTCCCGCAAGACGCAGGGAGCAACGAGCAAAAAGCAGCTCAGATTACAAGGTTATTAGGCTCGAGCTAGTGGTAAACAAAGCCACAACTCCATGTCTGCTCATGTGACATTCACCCAGATATCCAGGATCTTACAGTGAGGTTAACAGATTCAGCCATTTTGTAGCATCTTTGTTGTCTTTCTGTGAGGCTGCCAGCAGGAATGATCCATCACTTTGTATCACTGACTGTGCTGGTTTCACACTTCTGAGAGTGTGATGACAGTAAAAGATTGATCATCTCTGCCTCTGCTTTATCAGACCAGGCTCTTATCACCCTCTCTCCAAGTGAGTCGGTGGAACACTGAAACCTTTTCATCAGCTTCAGTCCATGTTAACGCTAGGGTAGTAACATTGAATAAACAAGCAACAGACATCTAAATTTTGAATGTATTCGGAAAAATCCTCACCCCCTCCTTCAGGTCTCCCTCCAGAGACACACACGAACATGTTTAACCACTGCTGGAGTCCACGAGAGAGCAAGGGAGAGAGGAGAACAGTGCATCGTTGTCATGGCTAACTGTATCCAACTATGTCATGTCTCTTTCATACATAGTTCTACATACTATGTATTTCAGGAAAATAACAAATTCCCCCTAAAACAAAACAAACCAGATAATTTCCTGTCCCTCAGTTCTCGCCATCTTTTAAAAGCCACGCCGATGTGGACGATGTTTGACCTGTGGCTTTATCCAAAATCTTTGTTTCTTTTCTTGCTTTGTTGAGCAGTTGACTACGTGTAACTGTACATTTTGGCTGCTCTTTCTCTGCCATTCTTGTGAAACTTCAGAAATATCTTCCTGGCCAGGTTGTGAAAGACTGCAGAGTGCGTGGAGGTAGGCAGGAAGGTCAGCCTATTACAGGCCTGTGACTGCTAGAGATAGCGGATTTTATTTTCAGAGCATTTGATTTATTAGGTTTTGTTGGGCTGTAAAGAGAATTTCAAAAAATATAACAAGAAATGCTTCTGAAAAACATGACCTACCCTGACTTTAACTGGCTTCTTGGCCTGCGTATTCATCGTGGTCACAAATCAGCAGACTTCATATTATACGACATGTCAGTATTTTCATGCAATTGTCAGTTCACTCTGTGTTCAGGTAGCACGCAGTGTAAAGAGTTGACCACATTGCTGTCAAACGTGCTTAGCTACGGTTTGTCAGGGAAGCACATTCGTCTCACTCAGTCATCTCAAGGCTACCTAATAAACTATTATTACTACTGGACAGAATAACAATGTTCCAGCCCATAAACCCACACATTGTCTTCCTACCTGTGCAGTTATTGTTTGCATATATCAAATGTCCTTTTGAAAATGCCCCACTACATACTGTATGCCCCTTAACACTGCGTTAGAAGGAGAAGTTATCAGATGCAGTTAAAAATGGGGGATAAAGCCTAGAGGAGTGCATTTGAAGGGTGTTATTGGTAGGATGTTCCCAGTCCAACGGGACAGGACAATATTTCATGAAGCTGTAGCCTCTACTACTGTGCAGCATAATGGTGGTCACTTGTTATAGACCATTACATTTTTAATAAAAAAAGGACCCCCAATATGAGCAGAAACATGCTTTTATCAGTTTAGAGAAGTTGTTCTTTTTGTAAGGCTTAACGTGTGAAGCATTACAATACACACCATGCTGTCCCCCAGATATGAATATTAATTCTTACGAGAGACAGAAAATATAATTATGTGTATAGTCAGATTATTTATTTGATATATAAACTTGGTTTTCAGTTATTATTTTGGTGCCAAAGGTCACAAAAAGCAGCACAAATGCTACTCAGTTTGGAGGTTAATCATAAGATACAAATTCAGCTTTTTTTTCATTAGGTTGCTTAAGAATAAACGTGTCTTATAAAATATGCTAACAAGAAGAGTGTGTGATGCCTTTGTGCTGTGCGTATCTGCAGAATATCCCTGGCTCCACAGTCTCCCTGCAGTCAGAGGATTACAGTATTAAGACTTCGTGGACTTGCTGCACTGAAAAAAGGACGTCATTGTGAACAGCTTTATAAAAAAAAAACAGGCAATGTGAAAGGGAAGCAGGCAGCTCTGTGTTTGCCTGTTCTGGTTCCTCAATAACTGAGTGTATGTGCACACTGTGGGACCAGTTGAGGTATTTTATAGATCTTCTGACAAACTCCAACCTTCCTATAAGAGACAAAAGCTTTTAAACATTTTTCTCACCCAAACACTGTTTGGCAAACTGCACAGATAGAGTCACTGAATTGTCCTGAAAGGTGAATGCTGCTGTGTATTGACCATCAGCAGAGTAATGTTAATGTATTGTTTTCAATATTAGTTCAACAAATCTAAGACATATTCAATAGTTACAATATTATATAATTTGTCACTTTTAGTACAGTTTGTCAATGTATTTCCTGCTGTGTAAAGGCCTAATTATTGCTCATGTGTCATCCATCAGAAATTCATTGAATTCGAGGATGCGTTGGAAGCTGAGAAGAAGGACCTGCAGGTGCAGGTGGATTTTCTGGAGCTGCAGGGAAAACAGCTGGAGCTCAAGACAAAGAACTATTCTGACCAGAGTGAGTGGACCGTCGTCTTTATTACAAACTTAATCCTGTACGTGCAGCACATCTGGCTGCTCTCGATGGATGTCCCAGGCAGAGCTGAAATTAGGATCACCATAGTCCAAGTTAATTCTAATTCATGTCTCAATTTTAAGTCAAGAGAAAATGAACATCCATTAAAATAATAATTTTAAATAAACAAGAGCCTGTTTAGATTGAGATCCAGTTTTGACCTTGAACAATAGGCAAAAGAAGTTTAAAACATGACTCATTAGTGTTGAGACCAGTACTTTAAGTCTAGTTCTGTTACCTGGAAATTGATATATGAGTTGAAAATGTAAAAGTTAATTGATGAATTTCAAATATCAGCTCTTGAAGCTGTTTTTTCTTCAGATTTACAAAAAGGGGAAAAGGTAACAGCCCAAGAATATATTTCCATAGTATTTCTAATGGGAAGATGGAAGGGGAAGTACACACACAGTCTGAGGATGTTGTATTTTTAGATTATGATTCTTTTGAACTGAAACCCTGATTTGCTTTATGAATACTGACATACTGAACATATTTGATGGGCTGGTTAATTTTCTTTTCTTTGACATCTACCTTTGAGGTTTCTTGATGTTTTTTGATTTACTGTGGAGTTTAGACCAAATGTCTAAAATCTTGACAAGCAAGATTGGCCATAAAAAATGACCTTAGGGTCGTCATACACCTCATATTCAATTAGCTAAACTTGTCAACTTGAAAGAATTAAAGCTATTTGAATCCATTACTTTCTTTCCTCCTGTCTTTTTTGCTGATCAACTTTTCTGTCTGTCTCACAGTCACTCGGCTGGAGGAGCGAGAATCAGATATGAAGAAAGAGTACAACGCCCTGCACCAGCGCCACACTGAGGTAACCAGACCTTTAATCTCTAGCGTCATTTCTTACATTTTCATTTCTATATTTCCAAAATCCATCAAATTGTTGATATCATTATCCTTAAATGCTGCAGCCATTATCTTAGTATAAGGCAAAATATTCAAGGTTTAGGGTTCAGGGCTGTATTTTCATTATACAGTACAGGATTGCACAGTGAAATGCAGTAAATAAACAGAAATATGTAATGTAATATTATATTTTACATGCGCCTCCTTTACTGACCACTCCAGGTGTTTTCTGATGCTTTCTCAACCTCAAACACACTCATACTCTTTTCTTTTTCTTGCCCTCGTGGGTCACAGATGATTCAGACATACGTGGAGCACATAGAGCGGTCCAAAATGCAGCAGACAGGGAGCAACAGCCAATCAGAACCCGGCTGTGGACGAACGTGAGTTGTTTTACACGTGTGTGTTGGTGTGTAAATGTCACACATTTATCTTTGTGTGGAATTCGAATAGTAACTTTCACTTGTCGTCTTGTTGCTGATGTTTCGTGTTGCGTCCTCAGTGTATTAGGCTTTTCATGTGTCAACATGCTCATTGTGTTGATGCTGGCATTTGTTTGTCAGGAGCCATGATGAACAGCTGGTACTTCCCACTGAAAGAGGCGAGAGAGAGTGTACAAAGAAACCTGGCACCCACTATGAGCCTTGTGGGAAATAATTAGAAAAAAAGAAAGTCTGAACTTTATCTGCCACCTTGCAGTGCTCAGCAATTGGTGCAACCCATGAGTCCAGAATATTTATGAGCATGAAGCAAGACGAGGAGTGGGACATCTGGTGCAGCTTCTGGAGCTGAACTGCAGATTAGTCGCCTCCTGCAACAGCGTATTTTAAAAATCTATTCAGCTACACTGTTCAAAGGGAACCTAATCCTACAAATCTTCTTCAACTCTTAGAAATAGAGCTCTGAATGAGGCTCGTGATAGTTTGTGTTTGTAATTTATTTAGGCTTGTTCGCAGGATGGTTGCATTGTAAACAGTGATTAGGCTTACAAGATGCATTACTTCTTAACAAACTGCCGATTAATCCGAAACAATTTTAATACGAATAAAAACAATCTTGAAAAATAACTGTAAAAATACTTTAAAACTGCACTCATCTTTTAAAGGTGAAAAAGCTTGTGTGTTTGTGTGTGTGTGTGTGTGTGTGTGTGGTTCATGTGTCATGGCATGTTCCAGTCTGCTGTCTTTCTCTAATCGGCGTCTGTCTGTCTGTCTGTCTTGCTGGCTTGCTCTCTGTGCCCTGTTTGCACAGTCAACGCCACACATGGAGGAAAAGGTAAATCCAACATGGTCCCACAACTGCCCTCCTCCATCAGCTCCGCCCTCCCAAACCGGCCTGCTTTGACTTTAAATGTGACTTAAGAGTTGTTTGAAGCCCCTCCTTATATATAGTATTCCTTTATAGTGTATCTTTTATCAGTTATTGATGCCTGTGACAACAATTTATCATCGTGAATGTAATATTGCATTCTAATAACAAGAGATAACACGAGGAATGGTTCAGAGGTCGTGATAAGCAATCCATATTTTCCAGTTTTCTGCATCTACCTTATCCTCTTTGTCCCTCATGGGTTGCCAGTGTCTGTCTGCCTGCTCTGCTTGTCTGTCTCTCTCTTCCAAAAGTGAAGCAGTTATATGGATATGCATTAATATTAAGCAAAGAACAAATCTTCTGCAGTTCTTGTACTTCTTAGTGACAAAACATTGCACATTACACAAACAGTAGGATCTTTTGTGCATGTCTGATGTTTTGCAGAGTAGCAGATGTAAGTAAATGTAGATACATTCATTTGAAGCCTGCACAGTTTTCAGTTTCAGTTGTTCAGTCATCACACAACCAAAAAAGTGTCTAATAATTAATTAATCTAATTCATGTACAGTGCATTTATACAAATAAAACCTATAGTTGTGATGTTCAATATAATGTATTTCTACATTGAGTTTACTACCTGTAGTAGCCTGTGTTGATCACTCTGTCTCTTTGAATGACTTGCATCTGTATCCCTAGTAAATCTCTAGTTCATTGGCCTGGTGGACTAGACTGCATGCCCTCAGAGCACTTGTTGCTAGTCATTGTAGGGCTTGTAAATCAGCCATTTTGCCTTTCCCCTAAAATCTCTATCCCTGTCGTGCTTTATTTCCATATTACATATTTTAAATATGTAAGGACGTGGGTTTGATTGCAGGCATTTGCTATTTCTATGTGGAGTTCCTCATGTTTGTACAGTTTAACTACATTTCTCGCTCACATTCTTGCAGAGAGTTAGATGAGAAGATTGATACCACTCTCGTGTACAGTAAAGAGGAAGCTGTAGGTTAGCTTAGCATAAAGACTGGACACTGGAAAACAGCTAGCCTAGCTTTGCCTGAAGGTAACAAAGTCCATGCACATTATACACATTATAACACACATAACACATTATATCTTATATATACTGTGGTGGCTATTTGTTAAATAAAGCATACAAAGTTTTATTCAAGTCATCCATCCGAATGGGCCTCACACAAAACCCCTCCAACACCACTTCCTAATATGCGAAAGCTTGAAAGAGTGAAGATTGAAAGAAGCAGTTAGGGTTAAAGGTTATATGCATATAACAGCCTCTTGAACAGGTTGTGTATGGTTTAACAATGACCAGGTCAAAGGGTCATGTAGGTTCTTAAAAAGTGCCATTACAATACATATGTTTTATTTTACTGCCTTATGTCCAGGACTTTACGCGATAAGCCAGCCAGCTTCATGTTCAACATGCAAATATAAGAGTGGTATCAATCTTCTCATGTAACTTTCTGCATGAAAGTGAATACAAGCATTTTCCAAAATGCTGAACTGTTTTAGGAAATGTTTTCCGGGTGGTTTTATGCCTTGCATCTAACGCATGCCAGGATAATCTCCAGCCCTGCAGAAGAAAAAGGGAATAATTATAATAAATGAGTAATCAATAGTCAATCTCACATTAGTCTCCACCCCTCTCTGTGTCTCCTCTGCCAACAGCAAAGCGGAGCGCCCGCCGTCATTGAGCCTGTACCCCAGCGGTGAGGGAATGGTACGTGGGGGTCTCGGGGGGGCTAGGATGATGCCCGGGAAAGACATCTGGCAGGTCAGCGTGCCCGGCCAGTCTACCTTCTGCTCTGCCTATCAGGTGGGACAGACAGCGGCCCTGTCCTCGTCCACGAACACAACCGCAGCCTGGGGAGTGGAAAGGGGACGGGCAGCCTTACTGCTGCCTGTCCCACTAGCCACACCCACACGGACCACCTCCCCCACTCAAGCCTGCTTGGGTCACTTTTGAGGAAATTTATTTTATTCACACCACTTGAAAAGCTGCCCTTTGAGTCAGATTCATTAGGTATATATGTTGACTCAAGCAAGCAGGGGTCCATCATGTTTTTTCCATTGAGTTTCCTTTATAACTGATTATTTTACTGTGTGATCATGGAGCTTCTACCATACGTCCTCACGTTTTAGTTTACACTTGTGCGTTAAATTTAAGTGTTTCCAAATGTCCCTTTTTTTTAAAATTATGCTACTCACACAATTTGATGGCATATAATGATTTATCAGTGAGAGAAACAGCCAAGGTAAGAACAAAAAGAGGACCTTAGCCTTGGTATTTAGCTATGAAAACATCCAGAGAGCAGTTAAAGTGCACACTGTATGAGTTAGATAGCCTTATTTTAAGTTTTGATTAGTTGTATTTAATATGACTGAGACAGTGACTTTAGATGCTGGACAACCTGTAACATTCACAAGTTTTTTACTGAGAATGAATCCAGGACTTAATGACTCGGAGGCAGTATTCAGCACATATTTGGGTGAATTTGAAGTTCTGATCCATCAAATCATTTGGAAGTAACCACATTAAACAATATAAACATTGCGTGACCCTGCCTCCACTATAATACTCATATAATGCTCTTTGTCTCTTGCCCCCATGTCCTGGCCTCATACCGCCACTGTACATTAAGGAGGATGAATCAGAGTCCGACTCATTGGCGGCCACACCCAGCAGCACGGGAAGCAAGTCTAACACACCCACCTCCTCCGTCCCCTCCGCCACTGTCACCCCCATCAACGAGGGCTTCCTCCCGCATTCGGAGTTCGATGCGATGCGGGCTGGGAACCGCAGGAAAGGTGTCAAGCGGCTCAGCCGGAATATGGAGGTGCAGGTTTCCCAGGAAACCAGGAATGTCAGCATCGGTAAGAGGATGTCACCCAATACATCCTCATCCTGTAGTGTCTCAGATTATGACTCTCGACCTTTGTTCTCTTCCCAATTTGGAGTGAAAATATCATCAAAATGTTTCTAGTCTTCTAAAGTTTCAGCTGAAATGTAATGACCTGTTGCCTGTCATGTTTTTCCAGGTATGGGAAGCAGCGATGAGTGGTCCGAGTTTCAGGAGATCATCGATTCTACCCCTGACCTGGACCCCCGTGTGTACGGAGGAGGAAACAGGTACAAATACTCTGTAGTAGCGTCACATGCACGGCACATACTGACAGTGAAAATCCTCCAAAGTTTTACTGCCTTCAAGATCAACAAAAAAAGAGCCAGGCTGAAGTTGCCAGACTTTTCCTGGACAACCCAAGAGCAGGACTACCGTAACAAAGAGTAATAAAGAGTCATATTTTGATTAAAATGAATAAACATATATTTTACACCCATGGTTTGTTTGCAAGTAGAAGATCTCTCCATCTGTGGTTACATATTTATGGTTTTGTTGTTGTTTACCTGGTGAAAGTCTGAGGACTGAAATGTTTTTCTTTTACTGCTGTTGTCTGATGAAATGTGTGTGTTTCAGCCCCTCCCAGGGCATAGTGAACGAGGCCTTCGGCATCAACACCGACTCTCTCTACCATGAGATCAAAGACGCCAAGTCGGACATCATTGGAGATGTAGATGCAGGCGCCGAGCTGCTAGGTATGAACAGGATTGTGGATGCCATACGTTTTGCTGTGGTCGTAGGTTTGTTATCCGGGAGCCTTAAAGCTTGGCAGCAAATTTTGCCATGAAATCACTTTGCTGGTTACAGCTCAGTGAAATCCTTCTCTTTAAGTATTTCAAAGGAAATGCCTGAAAACTGCTGCCTCCTTCCCCTCCTCCTGAGGTGATCATTGCTCACCTTGAGCTGGTGAAAGTGACGCTTTCTCCTCCTACTCCTACTACTTCTACTGTCAGTGTGTGATATTACTCAGTAATATCTGATTAAGTGTAGATCCAAAGTGAGGGCGGATGCATGTGCGCGTTGCACAAAGCCAACATTTGTTTTTGCTTTGCGTTACTGCAAGGCAGGAGCTCCATGTGAGGCTGTGTGAATGTGCCACTGCACTGCACTGACTCTGACTTTTTTTGTTACCTTGCATGGCTAAGGCTGGAACACACTCCTGTGCCAGCAGCTCATTCCTGCGTCACATCCTGAAAAACCATACAATCCCTCACTGGCTGCTCCCCCAACCCCAGCTGCCCATTCATGCAGTGTTACTTTTATTATTTCTTCTGTCTTTCTACTGTTGGTTTCTTTCTCTCTCTTTTTATGGGGCGGAGGCATGTTTGATGCAGCCCGTTTCAAAGGTTGTGAGATTAAAAAAAGTTACATTTATTATATTTATCAGATTTCATTGCACTTAATTTCATGTTTATTATTTAGATCTTAGATGCTCATTGTCAGTCTCTGCTCTGGTCCAGTACACTTTGAGGGATTCTGGTGGATATTCATTTTTGTTACTGGAACTGGGTTGTTTTGGGTTTGGATTTATTGTCCTAGATTTTTATATAGCAGCAACAGAAGGCAGATATGACCCATCTTCTTGTCCATCTGTTAACCTCTCACCCGTTTCCTTTTTTTTTCCCCTTTTATGTGCTTCTGCTGGTGACACCCATAGGCGAGTTCTCAGGTGTGTATCTGAGCATGCATTGGTTTTTCTTTTACTCTCTCGACTCCTCTCTACTCTCCAAACTCCTCAGCTAAGAGTTAATATTAACCCGTTTATACAAATAAAAAAAAAGACTACACATTACTATAGTTTTAATTATTAATTTATAATGATTTATTTATTGCTTGGAAATCAGGAAATTGTGATGATACGGTAGATTAACAATATCCATACACATCCAGTAAAAACAGTTTTTTCTTATCCCTTTAAAGTCACAGTGAAATTATATTTTTAATCCAAAAGTTATATCAGTCTGCATGTGTCCCATTGGTTGAGAATGACCCTCCCGTCCTAATGTTCAGATAGGAAATAAATTATTTTAAATGCACTTAAACGTCTGTTTCACTGGGACTTTAAAATCAATCTGATGATGTTTGAATAAATCAGACCAGGTAGCAGCTTTTGTGCTCCAATTCTTTATCCCTGCTGCTCGTCTACAAATCCAAATTATTAAATGCTTATCAGCATCCTCTCTCTCCTCTCTTCCCTTCTCATCCCTCTCTCTTTCTTCTGTGATCTGTGGCCTTTCCTCTTTCTCCCTCCTTCTTCTTTTGCCTCCAGTCCGTGATGATTTCTTCGGTAAGGCACGCCTTGCCAACGATCATGGTCACATTTGCTTGTTATGTCATCCCCTGGCCTCTAGCTTTCACATTCTTCTGGTTCCTTCTTTGTGTCTGTTTTTTGTGTGGCTTTATATTTACATGTTGTTTAATATTTTTCAGAAGAGCTCCTCTTTTGTAGAACATTACAATAAAAATCCCCTTTTGTATGGAAAGAAAGCACTGTACTAGACAGTAATGTAATGGTAAAGAGGCAGTGCAGCTCAGTAAGGAAAAAATAGTGAAACTACACGTCTTAGAAGGTAAACAGGCTCTGTGGTGAACACCAGTTCAACAGGAAACACCTCAGTTAGATTTGGTAAAGTGCTTTTTTCCATTCCCTCCTCCAAGATATGAGTGAAGATTGATTTTAGTTAGGATGTGGCAGTTTTTTATCTTGAGCGCTGCAGTTAAAACTGCCAGTCTGAGGTGCCTTCAGTAGACAAGTTATTTTTCTGCCTCTGCAGTCAGATCATATATCACAACATAAACCTGGCAGTATTTTCTAATCCAGTGTCCAACAAGGACACAAGCCAACACCGGTCCTTTGTAATTGACACCTGTTATATGTGAACCTCTTTGCTTCTTGTTTTTGTTTGTTTTTGACATGTTCTCATGTCCTCAATTTCCTCTGTGTTGAAATTTCTGTGTGTGCTTGGCTTATATTGCACAGTGCTTGCTGCTTGCACGTAAAAATCTATAATTTCACGATTTGGTTTTTGGTAAAAAAAAATAAAAATAAAGATAGGTTGAGCATGACAATAACACTGTCGTGGTTAAGGGATCATCCCTGAATTCTGAATATATGTGCACTCATGGAGCTCATTGATTGATATTGATATTGACCTGATATTACAAGTTATGGTTATGCTGTGCCAACATATTCTCACCAGTTACTAAAAGCAGTTATAAAGCTGCTCCAGGACTCCCAGCTGTCTCTGTCTCCCTCTCTCAGGACTATTTTACTTAAATAACTTCAGTTTCACGAGTGTTTTGCTCATTGTTCTCCTGATATTTAACAACTATTTTTTTCAACTTGATTTACTTTTCTTATTAACATGAGTGCTTAAATCAATAATCTGTTATATAATTGTCATTTCATCACAATTATTAAACCTTTTGTGGAGGTTTTTCCATCATTTGTTGGAATGACAATAACTTACCTTGGCTGGTCTGAAAGGCAGAGTTGCAACGGAAACTTATCAATTAACAGGCTTATTGATTAATGGATGTTGTGTATTGTATGTGATGTAACAGAAATGATTGACTTTTCCAGGGATGGGCAAGGAGGTGGAGAACCTGCTGACAGAGAACAAACAGCTCCTAGAGACCAAGTAAGACTCAGAGAATGAATGAATTAAGCTAAAGTTTCCTGGAGCTGGTTTTGATGTCTTGCCTCTTGCTCATTCTGCTCTTTGCTTGACAGAAATGCTCTTAACATTGTGAAAAATGACCTAATTGCCAAAGTGGACGAGCTGTCCGGGGAGCAGGAGGTGCTGAGGGAGGAGCTGGAGGCTGTGAGGCAGTCCAAGAACAAGGTGGACGCCAGAGTCAAGGAGCTGGAAGAAGAACTCAAGAGGTGAAAATAACATGAAGTTGTTTTTTAAAATAGGATGATGAAGATGAAAACGTTATGCTTTTGTAACCCAACCAAAGGAATACATCCTGACAACTGACACAGAAGAAGAGTAACATTTTGGTCTGAGAACCAGAGGACAAAATGTCGTAGACAACATCTTGGCTACTTCAAACTCCTGTAATTGTCTGTATTGATCCATCAGTACTCTTAGCTGAGTCAGTGGCAGGAGGAACTCTGTGTCCTGCTGAGTGTGCTTTTTAACTGTGAAACCTTTCTTTAAATCAACATTATGTCAGATTTGGTATTTATTTGCGATTTGGTGCCCCCAGTTTCAGAGTGCAGTTCACTTATACACTGCTCTCATAAATATGGACAGGTGCATTTGTTATGATCCAAACCTAGTGAGTCGACAACTTTGCTAACACCAAACATCAAGCAAGTGCAACAACACAAAACAGTGTAAGCCAACTAATATCACTAGTCCAACAGGAAGAAGGCCAGCTCTGTGTCTGACTGCAGCCTTTTATTTCACAGACATAATGACAGAGTTCTCACCACTGTCTAAAAGCCAAGATTTACTCTTACTGTCATAATTACCCCCGTACCCCAGGCCTGAAAACCTCAACCTCCAAGCCGTCCAAAACTCCTGTGTGAACATAAACAGTCCCCCGGTGCTCAGATGAGCTCCCAGCAGCTGTTATCAGCAGTTAGTGGTTATTTAAGCAATGTTTGACTATGTTTACCTGCAATTCAAATGTGCTTCCTAAAAACCGGTCTGTGTGACTGAGCAATAGATTTATTAGTATAATCATACGGCAATGTGTGGCAGCTCATTTGTGTTTATGGAGGAAGTTCCTCACAATAAAAGAGGAGACCTTATACCTGCTGTTACTGTAAAGCTGCTGTGGGACCAACTTCTGCTGCCATAAATTGGAAATAATAAATAATAAAGTTTGAAATGATAAAACTCAGCAGGACGCAGTTACAGAGGCCAAACAACATTTTACTAGACAGTCTTAAAGGTCCAGTGTGTGACATTTAGGAAGATCTATTGGCAGACATGGAATATAATATTTATAGGCATGTTGTCAGTAGTGTATCATCACCTGAAAATAGGAATCATTAAGTTTTTGTTACCTTAGAATGAGCTATTTCTTTGTACAAAGGAAGCTGTCTGCCATGTTGAACCACCCAGTACAGTAGCTCAGAACCGACAAACCAAACACTGGATAGATAGGGCCGTTCCTGTTATTCATGGGGTTTGCAGTGCAGTAGTTTCTCTACATGCTTGGAAGACGAGCTGTATTCAGTTGGTTGTAATCTGCA